ATTATCAATTTGCTCATTATAAATGTGTTTTAATCAAATGAATGACTATTATGCTTTGGGGTAATTCTAAGAGATTTAATGAATCCATAATTAGATAATGTTGAGAGTGTTTGTTGCTGACCTTCACACACACTCAAGCACACACACCCACACACAGATTCTCACAGTTAAACTCCAAAACACATTTGCTGACGCACACGTTTGCTTTGAGAAGAGAAAGGCTTTTGGTAAGTTTCAGTCTTATGATTTCAGTTCGTGTTGGACAACGAAAGAGAGTGGACCTGCAAACCAAAGGGGGGGCAGAGCCAGTTGGCTCGTTCTTCCCCCCTTTCACGCTGTTCCTGCCAAGCCAGGCAGAATAGCTGAATCGCAACTTCTAACGCAGACTCATTACCGAGTCTTTTGATTTCTGAGTGAACTTAACTTAATAAAGCGCATCGACAAAACGCTTTACCATCAACGTGTACCGAGGGCAACTCTGGACCGGTTCGCGGCACATCTTTGTCTTCTTTGCCAGCCAAGGTGCCCTGGATGAAACATCATCCTAAGGTGACGTCCCGGGTCCAACAGAGGGTCCGATTTTCGGTGAGGCAAAACACGACAGATAGCGTTTTGATGCATCTTTTCCAACTAAACCTAAGTTTATTCAAACCATCACTTTTCACTCAGACACCTGTTTCTTCCTGAAGCAAAATCAGATGCACACACGCATTCATCTCACCTCATGTTCAATTCTCACGACACTTTGCACCCACACGCATCCATAACCACATCCTATTACTCTCAATCTTCATTCACCAACAGAAGGTCTATTTGAGCAAGAACAGCATATCAACCGTTAAAGATTGTCCCACAAGTTGCCAATGTTGATTGTTATTTCCTGTTTGTCAATTTCAAAATCATTAGTTTAATTTGAAGAATTAAAACTTTTAATTGTCAAACTGGTTTCCTCATTGAACTGAAACACAGACACACAGATATTATCGTCAGTTTATCGATGAAAACAACCTTTGAGTCTTCTTAACAATATAACATTTGGTTATTGAGTTATTAAAAATTAATATTCCGAATTAATACGTAGCATGGTTCCTCTTTCATAAAAGAGCATAAAACCACAACGCTACAAAAGCATAACTTCAACTGAAAGCTAGGAGAATATCCTAAGCCATAAACAAGGAATGACTGAAGAAAATGCACAAACCAAATAAGAAATCTATGGAAAGGGGAAAAATGATGAAGAGGAGAGGCTAGAAGTGACTGCAGCTGGGGGTGAATAAGAAGGCTGAATAAATAAATCTACGGGGACAGGAACACATCTGAGAGAACACAGGGGTCAAGGGTGAAGGAAGCACAGGGAGGAGAACCAAAATAAAACAAAATAACTAAACAAACTGGGAAGGGAAGATAATGTAAAATAATGGGGGAAATAAGATTGACTGGGAAACATGAACTAAAATGGGAAGAGGGGATAGGGAACATAGGATGACGTGGACAGGACACAGGACATGACAGCCAGTTTCAGAAAGTAGATGGCCTTTTAGGGACCGTCCTCACCACTTGGAGGAATGTTCCCACTCATCTCATGGAAACGATGTTCATCAAGCATGCTGCAACGAATTGTTGAAGAGATCAACAATAATGCTGGAGCTACGTTCATGTTGTCAAACGAATTTTTGGAAGGTGTGGTCTAGCACATATATATAGTATATATGTATGTATTAATAAGCATTTCTAACATTATGTATAATTATGTCTGAAACTGTCAGTTGGAATAAGAAAAAAATGGGCCTCATTTTAAAGGAAGGACAATGAAAAACTTTTTCTAAAATGTCAGATTTAACCAGCAGCTATTAACAAAACAGCTAAAGCTTTAAGGTCAGTGCTTCAACCATTAGGTGAAACATTTCGGGTGGGGTGTGTGTAATGTCTGTTCTAATGCTTTCCTCTGTTGTTCAGTGAAGTGAATAACAGCAACAAATCAAAGCCGATGCTTTCTCTCGTCTCTGATTATTTCCCTTTGGGCAATCCAAACAAAGTGAAACAGAAAGGACCAAAATAAGCTATTGATGGCTGTGGAACAAGTCCAGGAAAGTACATCTACAATCTTTTGTTTTTGAAGCTTCGTGCTTTTTAGATGGAATCACTGTGGAGCCATTTCCATATCATAACAGGAAGTTTGTTAACGTTAACTTTATTGTATATCAAGGCTAAACTCTTGAAAAGGGTCCATTTCATTTAACATTTTAGGATAAAATAAGCTCACCATTTACCGGCCGATCTACAATCCCACCCTCACCTAGGTCACGAGCTAGGCCACAGTGAATGTGTGCCGTAATCAAAGCTAAAGATGGTCCAACAAAATTAGTCGACCTGTGTGTGTGTGACCGTTTTCTGTTTTTGGGGCGGGTAGTGTACGTACGTCCAGATTCATGAGACCAGATTTCGTAGTTTTACAACTATTATTTATTATATACTTATGGTAAATGGCCTGTATTTGTACAGGTGCTGGCCAGTAAATTAGAATATCATCAAAAGGTTGAAAATATTTCAGTAATTCCATTCAAAACGTGAAACTTGTACATTATATTCATGCAATGCACACAGACCAATGTATTTCCAATGTTCATTACATTTAAATTTGATATTCATAAGTGACAACTAATGAAAACTCCAAATTTGGTATCTCAAAAAATTAGAATATTCTGAAAAGGCTGAATATAGAAGACACCTGCTGCCACTCTAATCAGCTGATTTACTCAAAACACCTGCAAAGGCCTTTAAAAGGTCCCTCAGTCTTGTTTTGAAGGCACCACAATCATGGGGAAGACTTCTGACTTAACAGCTGTCCAAAAGACAATCATTGACACCTTGCACAAGGAGGGCAAGACACAAAAGGTGATTGCTAAAGAAGCTGGCTGTTCGCAGAGCTCTGTGTCCAAGCACATTAACAGACAGGCGAAGGGACGGAAAAAATGTGGTAGAAAAAAGTGTACAAGCTCTAGGGATAACCGCACCCTGCAGAGAATTGTGACGACAAACCCATTCAAAAATGTGGGGGAGATCCACAAAGAGTGGACTGCAGCTGGAGTCAGCGCTTCAAGAACCACCACGAGGAGACTCATGAAAGACATGGGATTCAGGTGTCGCATTCCGTGTGTCAAGCCACTCTTGAACAAGAAACAGCGCAAGAAGCGTCTCGCCTGGGCCAAGGACAAAAAGGACTGGACTGATGCTGAGTGGTCCAAAGTTATGTTTTCTGATGAAAGCAAGTTCTGCATTTCCTTTGGAAATCAAGGACCCAGAGTCTGGAGGAAGAGCGGAGAAGCACAGAATCCACGTTGCATGAGGTCCAGTGTAAAGTTTCCACCGTCAGTGATGGTGTGGGGTGCCATGTCATCTGCCGGTGTTGGCCCACTCTGTTTCCTGAGGTCCAGGGTCAATGCAGCCGTCTACCAGGAAGTTTTAGAGCACTTCATGCTTCCTGCTGCTGACCAACTTTATGGGGATGCAGACTTCACCTTTCAACAGGACTTGGCACCTGCACACAGTGCCAAAACCACCAGCACCTGGTTCAAGGACCATGGTATCCCTGTCCTTGATTGGCCAGCAAACTCGCCTGACCTTAACCCCATAGAAAATCTATGGGGTATTGTGAAGCGGAGGATGCAATACGCTAGACCCAACAATGCAGAGGAGCTGAAGACGACTATCAGAGCAACCTGGGCTCTCATAACACCTGAGCAGTGCCACAGACTGATCGAGTCCATGCCACGCCGCATTACTGCAGTTATTGAGGCAAAAGGAGCCCCGACTAAGTATTGAGTGCTATACATGCACATTCTTTTCATGTTCATTCTTTTCAGTTGGCCAACATTAGAGAAACAAACATTTTTTCATTGGCCTTTAGAATATTCTAATTTTCTGAGATACCAGATTTGATGTTTTCATTGGTTGTCACCTATAAATATCAAAATTAAACGTAATAAACATCGGAAATACATTGGTCTGTGTGCATTGCATGAATATAATGTACAAGTTTCACGTTTTGAATGGAATTACTGAAATATTTTCAACCTTTTGATGATATTCTAATTTACTGGCCAGCACCTGTATACCCTCTTAGGGTTCTTCAACACAATCAGTCATTCACACATTCACACAAACACTCATACTCTAGTAGGGATGAGCTACAATAGCCACAGCTGCCCTGGGGTGCTCTGACAGAGGCGAGGCCTGCCAAACACTGGCAACCGCAGTCCCTCCGGCTCTCACCAGCAGGCAAGGTGGGTTAGATGTCTTGCCTAAGGACACAACAGCAGCATTCTCTGGTCAGAGCTGGGATCAAACCTGCAACCTTCCGATTACTGTACTATCTGCTTCACCTCCTGAGCTACTGCTGTCCTGCTGTTTAAAGGGATCATTTTAAAGTTTCTCACTGGCTGCAACTGTTGAGGAAAAATTGCAAACAAGATTTGTAATGGAGTTTCCAAAGCATTGGGAAATACTTGAAGGTTTCTTAATTCCCTTCCATGAGACACAGGCTTAGCTCTCTCCCGTTCAAAAGTTTGCACAAATGATTTAATCTCACAACGGCTGTGGGAGTCTGGAACGCTGAAGCTCTTCTCACTTTGTCTCTGTAAATCAGAATATCTGGGAAATGTTGGAGTCGGCAGCCAAATTAGAAAGTACTTTTTAATGGATGAAGGTTAACTGTTAAAAGTTTAGATTCCATTAGGATACTTTGTGACTAAACCGTAACAAGAAATTTCAAATTTTCACAAATGTTTCAACTTGTTTCCAGTTGCATCATTTGCGCAAGTCTAACTGGTTACTTACAAAACTGTAGTGTGACTCCTTTGTGAAAGTCGTTCTGTATAGGCATTTAGTGTCTCCCATTAGTCACCCATCCCAGCCCACAGCCCATGAATGTGAGTACCTGGGGCTACGTAAAACCTTAAAATTATACCGTTTATTTAAAAAAATCACAATGAAGATACTGATTTAATGCCATATGTGCACCCTTAACTTTATTTCACAGTACTTTGTCTGAAAGCAGATAACATAGTATTAAGAAATAGAAATAAAATTAGAAAAAACACAATTTTGTGCTCTTGTTTGTTTCGATGCACTCAAACAACAACTGCAGATCCCTCTAAATGTTCTGTCAAACACTTAAAACTCCTATTAAACACAGTAGTGCTACAATGTGCAGTATAAAAAACATGGTTCTAAAAAGCTAAATAAACTAGAAACCCGACAGCTCTCGGAGAACACTGAAACGCCTTTACAAAAAAAATAAATGGATAATCAACATTTCCAATGTTTGCAACAAAATAAAAATGTTACTCTTTTTACCCAGAGGACCCCCCCTCCCAAATTTAAGGCGGTTGAAACGTTGAGTCAGAAAACCCAGTTAACACTTAACAAGGTGATTACGTAAGACATTCACATCAGGCTCATGGATGTTTCATCTCACAATAAGAATAAAGAATAGAATGACATGACGCGGCTGCATGAGATGAAAAGAATATTGTGAAATAGAAACAATACATTTGGTTTAAACAGTAAAATACACAGAGAACACCAAGTGTCAGATGTCAAATACTATAACAAAGAATGCAGACCAATATTCTCATATGCTGTTATGTTTTTTTTATTATTATGAGTGATGATGTGTTAAATGATCGGTCGTGTCCAGAGGGTGGAGACTTTAGCTAAAGTAACAGTAAAAAATCACGTGAAAAGGCTTTTTTTCTCTATTCTGTTCTTAGGGTGTCCAAATTGTTGCCTGTGGGCCATTTGTGGCCCTCAGCATGAATCTGTGTGGCCCCTGACTGCTAGTCGAAATTGGGATATTATTGAGCAGCCGGCACAAGGAGCAGACAGAAACTTCCACAACAAATTTAGGGCAACATTTTAAAATTTTGCAGGACCATAAACCCCATCAGACCTCTATGAAAAAAAAAAAGCAGATTTAGGTACATTCTTTCTTAAAATTGACAAGATAAAGCATGGCTTTCTGAAAAAAGCATGACCTGTATCTGATTTTTTTCTTAGTGAGAAACCAGGGAATTCTGATGCTTTTTCTTCAATATGGAAAACATATGAGTCTGTTGGAATATATTAAACCTATAGAAATGTGCAACTTTCCTACAAATGTCATTATGTATTCTTTTATCTTAAAAGTATGTTGATTTCACTGTTGAGCAGGAAGAAAAAGACATTTTAGACAGCACTGTCTTTGAGGCAGTACATTACATTTTGGTGTGAGACAATTAAGATTTACAGAAAAAAACATCAATTTGTTTCTTCAGGCAGAAAATTTAAGGATTGTGTTCCTGAGCAAATTTTTCTGCAATTGAGTCAGAAGCATGCATTTAAAATATTTTATTGTGAAATGTTCTGTTGATGTTGTGAACGTTTATGAATGAAACTGAAGTGAAGAAACAATATCAGACATGAGAAAATAACATTTTACACTGGCTTGGTGTTCGGTATCAGACTGGAGAGCAATTAAAATTAAAAATGAACTTTTCTCTTTTTTCTCACAAATGCAACAAAAACCTTGTAATTTAAGTAACGTTTTATCAAAACGTCATAATTTAGGATCACAATTAATAAAATCCAGTTTTAAGAATCTACTAATGTGGATGAGCTCTAACGCATTACAAAATAAAAGTACCTCAAATGAATAGCAGATTATATATTCAGCACATATTCCAATATATGTGATGAATCATCATGAGCCTGATTAGAATAAAATATATAAACATCTTACAAAGAAAAAGCTTAAAATCTTGGTTTTACTCAAACAAAATAAAACATTATTTACAAATTCACAGCCAGTAAGTCAGAGGACTCAGTTTCACATTCGTGAATTTGTCTCTAAAATGTGGATGTTTGTCTTGTACTCAGCTGTCTTAACATACAAAACTCTTTAGCAGCCTAAGCAGATTAAAATCACATCGAACCTCTCAGCAAGCAGCAAGGCCCATCTGAATAACAAACTACTCTTTGTTTGTTCGGTCACACATTATGGAATATAGCATACTGGGAGAAATATTGAAGCTTCAAAATAACTAAAAAAAACAGTCATTAATGGCATGAAATTAAAACATCATTGAGAAAATACAGAAAAAGCTGCCAAAACACATCAGAATATGTATCTGTTACATTCATCCATCGGACTGACCTGCAGAGCAGCTTCATGTGTACCGAAACACCACGTGACCAAGTACAGCTGCCTTCCCACCAAACTAGTGATTGGCTTTCATACGACATGTTTGTGGATACGGTTACTTCACAGTATTTTTTTTTTCTTTTAGAAAAAAGTTAAGAATAGGGATGAACAAAAGAAAACCTGTATGCACTGGTGTGTGTTCATGCAGATTTCATCATAATCTGTGCAGGAATCTTGTAAACATTTCAGCTTTTTCTACTTTGGTTCTAAAGTTGAAAACAGTGGTTAATGAAAAGAAAGGTGTACCACAGCGTTATGTATACTGCATTTTTGCCAGCAAACAAAAGGAAATTCAGTGAATACTGCACAGTGGAATTCAGGGAACTTAAAACTGAATCAATCTGAGTTGTAAAAAAGTAAAAAAAAATAAAAAAAAATAAATAAATAAAAAACCAACAACATAGAAAAAACTGGAAACAAAACAGTTGGAGTTGGTGTCAATCATTTTAACAGCTTTCAAGAAGGACTTGCTCTCCTTCGGTAACCAAGCTCATCTGAATTAACAACAGTCCATCTGATAAACCTGATTCTTCCACTAATACTTCACCATTTACACAGCAAACATTGCAAATATAGAAACCCATATCTGTACAGAGTTTTCAATTAAATATATGCAAGGAGGGAAGAAACTTCATTCTATTTGCATGGGTCCAGATAGTTCTTCAAAAATATTGAACTTTCAGTATCTTCATATAGTAGTTTCAAATTACACAACAGCAAATCCACTGTCACAGGACTTGGCCATGAGATAACCCAAAAATCTAATATCCATTGAAACATAAATATATATATATATATATATTTTATTAGCATTACATTTTTCTCCAGATGAGTGTTTTACATAATATGACAAATTTAAAGAATCTTTGTTCCATTCTCTTCACAGTCAAATGTTGTGATAAACTTGAATGAGTAGTTGGTTATAATATTGAAGTATCCAATGATTCAGTTGTGTCCTTTTGGCAATGTAAGGTTCATTTTAAAAACAACTAGATGGGTTACGATTTATTTTGGGCCGAAACGCCCTTCCAGTAATCTAAAATATCATGCAGGTCCTCATCTTTTGCGAACTGAACTTTCTTGCGCAGTGCGTGCCCCGCAGCCATGTACTCCTCATCTTTATGCCGTTTACGGTGGAGTTTGAATCGCTCCCAGATGCTGTGTGAAGGTTTGCAGTAGAATTCAGGACTAGAGGAGTAGCTTAGATTGTGATACTGAGAGGTCATCTGGGAATATGCTAAGTCTCTGGAGCGGGAGTGAGTGAGAGGCTCCAACAGCTTGTGACTGTCAGGTCCTTCTAGCTCCTCTATTTGAGCGTCGGGATACGAGTGACGGTGGTCACTGTACTGACGAATCTTCTCTGCTTCGGCCCGCAAGATGGCAGCAGCGGGTGTTACAGTGATGATGCTCTCTCCACCCGGGGAGGTTTTCTCTGTATACCTGGATTCAGAGCGATAAGGTCTGGGGCTTCGCATGGGCCCTCCTGTGGCAGTGCTGGGCCTCTTTGGCGAGACATCTGAGGTTCGATGCCTCTGCAGAGAGTGATGGTAGCTGTCCTTATACACTGGAGAAAGAAGACCAGATTTACTCTGGGGGTGCTCTGATATTAGTACAAGCTGTGGCTCTGTAGTGGACACAGCTCCAGATTTAACCCCCTGAAAGGAAGTGGACTCTGACTTAAGAGCATCAATGCAGTTGTTAATTATCTGATTAACCTTATCAACTTCTTTTGCAATTGTGGAAATCTCAGCCACCGAGCCCTGACTGTTTCCAGCCATTCCCATTTCACACTCTCTCCGCTCATGATGGTCCATACTTCGCACATCCATGTAACTTCCCTTAATCATTTTGGGAGTATCACTTATCTCCTGAAATTTGTATTGCTCCATTTCACTAGCAGATGGTAAGTATGGCATACGTGCCATGCTCTCTCCAGCCAACAATTGCTTTTGCGACATCCGAGAAATAGTCCCCCCTTCCAATTCTTGTCCGTACTTCAGTTCCATTATGTTCTTCTTTAGACTGCCTGATTTCCTTTGCTTTTCATCTTGTTGGCGCTTTCTTCGCAAGCAGTAGTAAACAATCCCTAGAAATATGACCATACTGAAGAGGCAGCCTAAAATTGTCATAATGTAGTGTGTGGCAGTTGGGTTTGGATCTCTGTCTTTTTCAGTCCAGGGTCCAGTAGTGATTGTGAGACAAGTATGGTTGTGTCTAAGAGAATTACGTATTGAAGCAACACAGTATGTGTAGTTGGTGTGGGGTTTAAGATTTTTTAGCTCAATGTCCTCCCTTGTAACTTTCAGATTCTGAATATCTGTGAAAAAACTGTTGTTGTAAAGCACCAGAATGTACATCTTCTTGTAGGGGTGAGGAATATGAACTGTAATAATGGCACCTGTGTTTGTCACTTGTCGTACTTTCATCAGAGGGCTTACTTGCACCTCATTCTCAGTTGTGCTGACGGTTATGTCCTCTGGTTCAGTGCCTGAGAAACAATCCTCCAGCCTACATAGTGTTGAGTCAGTTGTCAGTGTCATAGTCTCGATGGACACAGCGGTGAATGGTATCACATAGTCATCGGTACACACAGTAGTTAGCATGTGAAGTGCATTTCGATATGTTGGATTGTTGGGATTCTGGCTCAATAAGCTATAACCTGCAACACCACGTGGAGAGTCACACACCATCCGCTCATTGGTCCGGTTTGGGAAACTTGAGAACCATTTCACAAATCCAAGTAACTCACATGAGCAGTTGAAGGGGTTGGTGTACAGTTCACAGGTGGTAAGTTTAGTTAAACTGGTAAATGTGGACCCATCTAACTGCTGGATACGGTTTATGGAGAGATCAATATTTTCTATGTTGGGGCATTCCCAAAAGGCATTAGGTGTCACAGTTTCAATTAGGTTTGCCTGGAGGTAGAGGTACTGCAGCTTTCCTAAACCCCGAAGGATCCCCTCTGTCAGATTCCGTAACTTGTTGAAGCCCATTTGAAGGACTTGCAAGTTAAACTGAGCAGAAAATGCGCCATCCTCTATGTAGGAAATGTCATTCTTAGTCAGGTTCAGGTAGGTCAAGTTAGCAAAGCGACTGAGGGAAGAATAATGGATGCTTTTGATTTTGTTCTCATTCAGGCGAAGGTCTACAATGGTGTTGTTGATATGTTGTGGGATGGCCTCATACGGTGGTTGGTTTTGGCTGCAAATTGCAAGCCATACAAAGCCCTTTTCACCCTCAATTAACCAGCAGTCGCCATTAACCTTGCCAATATGAGTCAAATATACAATGGCTACTGACCAAAGCAAGGCACTCAACACCATGCTTGAGCTGCAGGCCATTGGTGCTTCTCGGCGAGTCATGGACGGAGCCAGGAGAATGAAAGGAGGGTGATCCCACTGCTGTGTCAGTACGTTGATATGCTCCTGTCAGTGAACCAGCTGAATGCTCAACTGTTCTCAGGGCCAGAGCCAGTGATGGATGAATGCTGATGCATATTGTCCCCATGTACCAATCAGAAAAATCTTGGGTATCTTCTGTTTGTTTCTTTCATTGAGATTTGCTTTTAATGAACTTTTGTAGATGCTCAAAAGGAGGTGTCATCTTTAGCTTGACTTGTGCTTTTTTCCCGATATGCAACCATCATAATATGGTCTCATCTTCAGTTCATTCCTTCCTGTGTCTCTTTCATGAGGGCAGATGAACGACCTGCAATACAAGCACACATAAAACAGACTATGTTACTAAGATAGGAAGCTTTTAGTGTTGCATGCATAGGTGGTAAAATGCATAACTCTTAGTGGGGATTCATGTTTACTCAAGCCCTTCTTGTTTGCATTCCACCAATTATTTTGTACACAGTTTAAGAGGTATTTGCAGTCCCTGTGGCAGAATCCTATTATGGGAAACTGTTGGCCAATTACCACTTGACAGGTTGAGAAAAGCAGGGTCCCTGTTTTCACACCATTAACCTGAGGAATGTCAGTGAGGGACCCAAGAAGCTGCATTAAATCGCACACACAGCACCATGTGAAGTGACAGCTTGGATCGATGTATTTAGCATTTTCCCAATGAACCTTTATGCATGAATTTACCTGTCTTTAAAAACTGGATTACATAAAAGAGGGAAATCATGTTCACGGTGCGATTACCACCATACATTTGATGAAAACCATATTAAAAGGGACATATTTGTTGATCCATCAATCCTGGCTCTGATAACACACCAGAAGGAACAAGATTTGAACCAGCCTTGGTGCTGTTTTGTGGATAGTCAAGTGAGTAGAACATGTCCTGGCTTCAAATTGTAGAAAATTGAAAGATGAAACACAGCAACATTTGTTTGTTCAATAATTTTGTGGTGAAACAAATATTATAAGACAACAATGCAAAAAAAAAAAAAAAAAAACTACTTGGTACACCCCAAAGAGCTCTCCCAACATGTAACTGTCTCAGATCTGAATACTTTTGAATGACTATAGATCCCAGTCATCACTGGGAAAGGTCAAGTCATGCCAGATTTAGAGCACCACCACTGGCTTCTCTAAGCAGCTGTGAAACTCCATGAAAACATGCCTCCCAAACAGAATGGAAGCTACTTTTGAACACAATCAACACAAATGTGTAACGTTTTTGAATTAAATGAAACATGACTTTAAAAATATCGTTTCATTAGATCACTTCAAGGGTAAGAAGGTTTTGTGTTTGTGTTTCAGAGGACATAACTCTTCACAACAGAGACAATCATGCTGCTGAAAGAGAGTAAATGTGACAGTTAATGGCAAAAAGGATATACTTCAAGTTGAAACCAGAGTCACCACTCAGGATTTAAAGTCCATTTTTTTTGTCATTTGACCTTTGCAGGAGTTTATCACATTACAGTTACACACATGTTGTGGTTTTACGGGTCACATTTAGAAAAGTGAAAGCTTTCAAAAGTAAAGTAATCCCTTATACCGCATTTTTCGGACTATAAGCCGCTACTTTTTCCCACGCTTTGAACCATGCGGCTTATAATGAGGTGCGGCTTTAGTCAACCAGAAAGGATGGATGCTGGAAAGTCTAATGAAGGAATGGTTAATGGAGTGCTACGGAAAGCGCCCAGGAGGATTTTTTCACAGTAAAACGGCGCTGCTTGTTTTCCCAGCTTAACCCCGGGATGATGGCAGCAACACGGAGAGCGACACTGATATCGCCACAGAAAAGGTGTGTGACGAAGCTCTTCTGAGGCTGTTCAACCCCGACACTGAAGAAGATGATGACTTCAGTGGTTTCAGTGCGCAGGAGGACGATGAATAAACTAATCATCAACTTTTCTGTTTTGTTTGATACTGATCAGTTCAGTTACGTTCAGTTAAACTACGTTTTCAATTCAGCAGATATCTGTGGCTTTTAGCCCGGTGCGGTTTTCTACTGAGGTACGCTTCATAGTCCGGAAATTACGGTAATTTCTGTCCTTTGTTTAGAGGATCAGTTGGTGACCAACGGCTTTGTGGCCAATACCTTTGGTAGTTCAGTACAAGTACAGTACAGCACACACAAGGCATTACACTGAGTCCACAAATTTGAGTATTTTTCAGTGTACAATTTCAACTACGTGAATAGATTATGCATAATTGTCAATAAGTGCATGTAATTTTATTGTAGAAAAATAAATAAATAAATAAATAATTAAGAGATAGAAAGGTTTGTTAACAATACACACAAAACTGCAGTTTTGGTGCATACCAACAAACTTTTGGTGTCCATTTCTCCTTGCTTTACGTTGCCAGGAAATTATCTGCAATGAGCTTATAATGTAATCAAGTAAAAGCACTGGTCAGCCTTTCAAGTACAGATAAAGTGCAGAAATAAATGTTGCCATGAATACTGCAACACATTGCCAAAGGCTGCCATTATAAAGCCACCTTCATGATGACAAAAGAGCAGCGGCACAGGAGCTGTGAAGAGAAAAACACTCCCAAAGCCCCTGGGAGGAAAGAGGTTCCAAATCAAATGTTCCATGAAATGAATATGAAAAATACAGCTCTGCAGAATATCTGGCCGAGCAAAAGATCTTTACAGAAAAAGGATGTCTTCTTACTATTCCCCAGTCTATGACCTTTACTGCAAATACCACATGGCAGAGACTGAGCTCATCTGACCTGGCCTCCGCTCGCTCACGGCATGACATGATGCATTTAGCCAGTAAATGGAAGTTTAAGTTAAACCTGAGAAGTTCCTCACCTCCCCCTCATTTAGAATGCATTGGCTGTGTTTTGTTTGTCCACAGTGACTCATTCTACATGAGTCACTGTCTCACCACTGAATCTGTTGCACAAATTAGAGAATGATTGACTCAAATTCTCAAGCATACTCTTACTGATGGGTAAAACTCAAACTTTTGGGTGGCAAAACAAGGGTTCTGGTGTTAAACATTGTAAAATATTTAATCCCTGTATCTGGGTCCCAGTGAATTCACAGCAAATGCCAACAAAAACAATGCCTGCGGTCTTAAGTTGTTGAGGGATAAACACTGCAACTGGCTACATTAAAATTAATTTTTAGAGCTTTAGTTTCATGCAAATCACACCGTACTGTATAGTCAGATCACAAAGTGAGCCCAAGGTGGCCAGCGTGTGTGTGTTGTTTTGTGAAAGCGTAGGTCTATTTGCCACCACAGACCCACTTTCCATAATGGCAGCAATCTGTATGGCCCAGTGCTAGGCCTTAGTGCGGCAAGCCAGAACACCCAAGGCATCAGAGCTGAGAGTATACCCCTATCAGACACAAGCAGCCATTCCACAGACTCGTTTCCATTTAGGGTTTATGTGCTCGGTAATGAAGGCTTTTCTTTTTCTTTTCTCTTTCCGTGAATAACCTATTGAAACCTTGCTCTTGAAGAATAATTCAAACACAGCTTTGTACATTTCTGTTTCTTCAATTCCTCTAAATAATTTGCACTCTTTATGGAAAATAAAGTTACCTGTTGAAATGAGGCCTTGCATTGCTCATTGCAGATAAATTCAATGACATTATTTGAGGTTGTGCTGGTGTATCATAACCCCGTCTCCTCCAGACCCTCAGACTCTCTGGTCCACCATGTGAGTCATTGCTTCACGACAAACTCTGACAGATGCCACATGGAGAAATTGATGGAAATTCTTCCAAACAGAGAGTTTAGTGTATGCAAACAAACAACACTCCACCCTAACATTTTCCCTGGCTATCTCTGCCTGTCAGTCCCCTCCTGCTTTTTTGTCAATGTGCCCGTCCAAAAAACTTCACTCTGCATACTAAACCACTTTTCTTCTGTTCGCTCTCCAAGTGTCTACAAAAGCGTTATATCAAAGAATCTGTATCCACAGTTTAAGGCTTTGCTGTTTTTGTTTCTCTTGGCTTCCTATCTTGTGCTTTGTGACAGTGAAGGTGCCTCATTCTCTGAGGATCCTCCTCATCCATACCAATGACTGCCCTTTATTTGATGTCATTGACAATGCATGCACTTTCTGCATGGAGAGAAAAAAGTTAGAGATGGGAAATTGCAATAGGAGAATCAATTGGATTGAAATGGAAGGATTTCTCTTGGGGAAGGAAAACATTGTGCTAGTAGCGGTGTTGAATTGCTTTGTGCAGATGGAGGGCAGCGTCCCATACCTATGACAAACTAGCAAAGGCTTTAATATCCTGCGTTAATTATTAAGGAAATTAACCAAAAAGCCAGCTATCACTAAATAACATTTGATAAATGTGAAGATCTTCTCTGAATTTTGGATTTAGCACAAACATGTTTCACTCGCATGGCACACAAGACACAAACTAGTAATTTCCTGAAATAAGTAACCTTTTTTATTTTAAAGAAAACTTTTAATCAAAAGTTTCAAAGTGAAGTTTCTCTTGCTCTAACCCCCCAAGGTGAATAACTCTACTCAGGTCGTTTTAACCTCAGGAGGAAACCGTGGGACTCAGAGCTCACGAGTCCTGAGGATGTTGTTGGATGTTCTATCAGATTGCTAACTGGGGAGTTTGGAGTCAGCCCGCTTTGGGGCTTTTGGTCATATCCTCCAGCTGTTCTGGTTAGTTTCTACGGTCCCGTGGGGCAGATTATCCTTCAGCTGCCATTTCCATGGAGAGTGTTCTTGGACAACACATTTTACTCTCAGTTCTTCTCAAACTGACATTCAAATATCATATTTTTATCCACAGACCACGGTTTTAGGGTATTTTCTCATCCATAGTTGGTTTCTTTTGGTTTGAATCCGTTGATGGCAGTGTTAAAGGGTAAATGTTTTCCATTGGTTTGGTTTCTTTGCATTGTTTGTAGGGGAGATGGTGGCACAGGAGTTAAGTGCTCATCCCGTAATCTGAAGGTTGAAGGTTTGAGCCCCGCTCAGCCTGTCACCGTTGTTGTGTCCTTGGGTAAGACACCTAACCCACCTTGCCTGCTGGTGGTTGCCAGAGGGACCGGTGGTGCCTGTGTACAGCAGACTCGCCTCTGTCAGTGTGTCCTAGAGCAGCTGTGGTTACATTGTAGCTCATCATCATCAGTGTGTGAATGACTGATTGTGTTGTAAAGTGCCTTGGGGGTTCCAGGACTCTAGAAGACGCTATATCAGATACATGCCATTTACCATATTAGGATGTTCACAACCCCCTTACTAGTCAGATGTGTCTGTGGAGAGAAACCAAAAAGAAGATGCTGCATTATTCTTCTAGATTTCTCTCCTGTG